TTCTGTGATTCTGTGATTCTGTAATACCATATAGTCCTGATAAGGTGAAACGTACTGAGACATTGTAACTTAAAACCTGGAACAAGAATAATATTCACTACAGAATCATCTTCCCCTACTCCTGATAATAACTCCTCAATTTTAACATAGCACATGAAAACCAGCAAAACTGATTTAATGTTGCAAAACTTTTACCACAGTACTGTATACAGTGAGAAGCTATCACAAAAATAAATGTCATAGCAAGCCTCTGTGGAGTATTTGATACAACCTGTATCAGTAACTAGTGTTTATCATACTGCTAATAAGAAGGAAAAAATATGTAAGTAGATATTTAAAATTCTCATTCAGGTGTTTGTGATCTCTTTGTTGTGTCATAGCAAGAGTTCAATACTTCTGCTACATAAATATTTTCTATTTCTTTCTCGTTGACAGAAGAGGGAAAAGACTGAAACTGCTGATTTTGTAATAAAACATCCTACGAGAAAGAACAAAACATAAAAAAACCCAAACAGCTTGGTTCTAATAAAAGCAATATATATATTAAATGACTTACTTATCTTGTCTCTCATTTGCCTGCCGCCAGTGAGTCTGCTCCTTTCTCCAGCGCAGGTTTTCATTTAGCCCCATTGATCTGTCATTCCCTAAAAACGCAACATATGTCAGTGAGATTAAAGCAAAAGGGAACACCTGAAGTCTGATAGCTCACTGAAAGAAGGAGGTACATGTCTGTAGCAGTCTGTCAGAACTAAAACCATTAAACTTCACAGCCTCAGGGCTCTAGTAAAAGGACAGGACCCCATAATTTTTAGGATTTTTAGAACATTAGCTTGCTTAATGTCTTCAAAGACCAAACCACAAATTACTTCAGTTATTAAATGAAGCAATCTTTTTTGCTGTGAATAATTTGTTCTTACTGATAGTTTTGACACCGTGTCTTGGTTCTTGATCAGAAATTAACACAATTTCTCAGAATGTCTTAAAACTTCTTAGTTGGTCTCATATTCTTCACCTGAGAAGAGCTCAGTCCTAGCTACACCTTGGATAATTAAAAGCTAGTAATATTTTTATCCACAGCAAAAACAAGAAAGGTCTTGAAAAAGCTGTGGAAGAAAAATATAAGGAAGAAAATGGGGAGTGTGCACAAAACCCAACAAACTCATTTATGTCTACAACCTCTTGAGATCCTCTCAAAGACAGGGGAGGAGAGGGGAATGAAGTACCAGCTGGTATTCTGCAGCGCTTCATCATTTCTCCTCTGGCTCCTTCACCTCTCAGTAAAGCCTCTTCTAATCGGGCCTTAACGTCTCGTGACTTCTGGAGTGCTTGGGTGCTAACTTTATCTGAGCTTTGTTTGCCCTGAAAGTAAAGTGAAAACAATCAACGCCAACGCCTCCATCTTGGACATGAGTGCAAATTACATCTCCAGAACCAGACACAACGGGAGAGAGCTGTAGAGGAGGCAGAAAGCAATTAATATGATTGACTAATATATAAAGGATAATTAAATGTAGCAGATGAGGAAAGAGGTAGTATATGTACTGCTAATAAACACAAATATGTAGCTCAGTGCTATAGAGAGAGAAATTAAAGTTCAGAGAGAAGGTCATCTGATCCATTTCAGGCAGACCTTGTCAGAGATGGGAGTTCTGATGTCCAGTCCCAGCTCTTAAAGGTTAAGAGTGTCCTTAGTGTCCTATCCAGTCTTACAGAAGCTGTCAATATATTGCCCACCAAAAATAGCCCTCAAATCCCCAGGAAAAGGAAAATAATAAAACAATTTAGGTCAACTTCATAGGAGTTCCTTAAAGGTTTTGGCTGAATTTTGCTTGAAGGCTAGTGTTAGCTATTTTATCTTAATTAATTTGTGCATTTGTAGCATAGATAAGACAAGAGCTAATTTAACGACTGTAAAAAAAAAATTCCCCTGGACAGCTGGAAGGTAAGGAAAACAAATTAAAACAAACAGGACAACAAAATCAGGCCATGTTTCACTTACCTTGTACTCAAAGCAAGAGACACAAATGAAGAGGAGGTCTAAAATCCTGTTCAACTGCATGGATGGAAGGTCTGCAATCCATTTCTGTATTAGATTCTGATCAGCATTTTTCATGATCCAGAGGAAACAGATCAAAAGGTTGCGAGTAGTATCAGGACCTAATGTAGCACTCTGTCTGTAGGGCTAGGAGCAGTTGAAGTAAATGTCAGTTGAAAGAAGAAAAATAAGAGGGAGGTCATTCAAGAAGAGTAATGCTGTTTAAATTTCAGTGACATCAAATCTCAGGACTGGACTTCAGTAAGTTTAACTTCTTCCAGGTTTTACTGATTGTATTTTTTTTTAAATGTATGTGTGTGTGTAATTAGTGACAGGATCAGCTGTACGCATGTGAAAGAGAAAGAAGCACAAGAGAATTGTTTGCTAGATGCTCGTATTTGAATTTCCTTAGAATAATATAGAATAAGATACTATAACTGCTTGGTCCCCTTTTGCCATGCAATTGTGTCAGTCAAATTGTATAGAAGATAAAAACAATAATGAAGAAAGACATAGAGAAGAGGAAGGATCTCGAGTCCTTGACCCATAGATTCAGGTGAGACTGGGACTGGGAGGCAGTGGGGGAGTCATAGTAGCACTTGTTGATCTGGAAATTTGTCTAATGGAAATGGAAATAGGCACAAGAGAGAAAAAGTGGACTTACGGTAATGGAGTAACTAAACGACTAGAAGAGGAAGAGCTTACAGGAGGAATATGAGGGGGCTGAAGAAAACAAGAATGAAGTTTCTTATAACTGTTGTTATTAGTTGGAAGAAAGGATATAAGAAGAAAACAAAGAAAGAGGAAAAGAGATACAAGAAAGGGAATTGGCAGAGCACTGGACATACCAGGGACACCAGAGATACTCCAGAGCTCCTGAGGTTGAATTGATTCCCTGCAATGGCAAGGGCCACGTTTTGACTGATTGCACCTGCAGACTCTTCTTCTTCTGGGTTTCCTGTGCGTCCCTTTCCACTACGGGCATCTGAAACTAGATTTGAAATAACCCATTGGAACTTCATGAGCAAACCAGTTGTTGCCACTCACATGTCACAGTCTTCCATTGGGCTGTAACCTAACAAAACAATTGGCACCTCCACCTCTGAGACTGTTGGTCTGGCTGATGTACCAAGCAGCGAAAGAGGTGCAGCATTAGCAAGACAGACTGCAGCCATCTCCAAAGGCTGCCAAATTGTTCAAACAAACACAGGGGAAGAAGATGTGTCTAAGAAGATCCAGGTGTTCAGAGAAGCTAAATTAAAAGCAAAGACAGTAGCAAATGTGAGGAAACAGCTTAGATAATGTTATTTTAAAAGGCTTGATAATATAAAGCAAAGTTCATAGTTATAACAGACGATAAAAATACATTTCCTGTGTGATGACTACATTTGTCCAAGATTAATTTTGGTATTGTGTTAATAGTACTAAAGAGCAATAGAAAAAGATAGAAAGAATACAATCCAATTTCTTTAATTATGGTGTAACATGATGTCAGTATCACTCTTGTTTCCTTCCCTACTATCTGTTAAACCTACCTATATCTCAATATTTCTCACAGATCTTGCAGACTTTATTTGCCGGATCATAATATTTACATTAAGAGATAGGCAGGAGTACTTACAGATACATCTCTAGTCTATCATTTGCTCTAGAAGTTTTTCATATCTTTAAAATCCAGTTTACTTCTACGTAAATAAATTTTAAACCTTACTAGTCTGTGGAGAATTTCTGCACTTAATGCAATCTCTTATTTTTGATAGATTGTTTAGATAAGTCACTTTAAGAAGCTGAAAAACACAAAGGGAAAAAAGTCTTACTTGTAAAATCATGGAGTTGTGTCAGTGAATCCAAAATGATACCAACCAAAGGGAGGTAGAGAGCTGCAATTTTAATCTTCACCTCTTTTTTGGAGCAACGTGGGTCTAGGTCATGGGAACTCAGCAGGCTAAGGATAGCACTGACAGCTTTTCTTTGCACCTTGCCAATCCTGTTAACACAAAAACCATCCACAAGTTCCATTAGTGGATCATGCACAAATTATTTATAAGTCAAAGATTTAAGAAACAGAGTGGAGGTGAAAGAAACAAATTAATACACCAATATTCACTAGATAATCTATTCCATTCTGAGCAGAGACTCATGTTTCCTGCAAAAGATAGCTATCATACACCTCCAAGCCACTACACCACAATCAGAGAGCATGCAAGTCTATCAAAGTTCCCATAATAATTCAATATGGTGAAGAGAGGTGCTTAAAGAAAAGCATCTGACCCCAGCTAAAGTTTAGATAAACTCTTAAGTTCAGACAAAGGCAGGGGTGTGCTAGAGAGAAGAGCAACTGAAATTTTAAGTTGTGTTCTAAATTTGTGTATTTAGCCAACACCACCACAAGAAATAGTATATTTTATTCACTGGGACTAACATACTGCAGATAAAACAATGACTGTGTTATTGCTATGTTACAGTACTCACTGAAAAGAAACAGGAAGGGAAACAGGATTGCCCTGGAATCAAACTATGACCTTCCCAAGATTAATAGTGTGACTCATTCCCATTCTAAAATCTGCAAATTGGGATACCCACCCCTCACTGTCTGCATCCAGCGCTGCTGCCAATTCGGTGAAAAGTAAGCCAGTTAGAAAGTGCTGCTGACGGTATTCGGCTGAGAGGTCAAACATACCAGCGATTTTCTGGTCCTGGAAACTTGAGCAGGAGCTAGAGTTCTGCAGAAGTATATTAGAAGTGTTAAAGAATGAGCACTGAAATCAAAGCTTCATATAGAGGTTGTAGTCATAATCCATGTAGTTAATGAAAAATCTCTACTGGAGGAAAAGCACAGACTTTGAAAGAAGGTCAGACATTTTGGATGAAAACATCTGAGTATGAAATAAAAAGCACCTAGTTTCAAATGAGTTGCTTGGTAGGATGCAATCTCATTCTTTTCATTCTCTATGGGCAACTCATTTGACATTTTCTGAAATGTAAAATTCCCACCCTGTATTCATTAGTTCGGACAGGACACAAAGTCAGAATTTCCTCCATTTTTACAACTCTTTACATTGCTCTTACTGTTGCAGAGCAGCCATGAGGCATTGTACAGCAAGAGGATGCCCTAAATTAAGAGGGACCTTGGTGTCAGAAGCTCTGCACGGTGCCTTCTTCAGCATCTGTGATGACCAGCATGGAAGTAAGGTCAGGAAAGACACTGTTTCCTTTCACCCTGGAAATCCTTGGCTGAGCTTGATGGCAGCTGTCATAATTTAGAGCAGCCTTCAAGCTGCTGTAACTTATGGCTGTGACTGATATACAGCCAGCCCAGGAATGGAAAGTTGCTGCTATATATGTGTTGTGAACTTTTTAGCTTCTCCAATCATAGGTCTGTGCCACAGGTCACCTGGAATGTTTCTGTCCCCTGATCAGGTGAACATAAGTCTTAGACTCTATTCTACAGTGCAGGTACTGGGGTTTATGAGTCAAAATCTTGCTTTTAATTTATATTCTTCAATATTCTCTCCCAATAATTCTGTCAGTCACTTGGGAATAGTCCCAGAAGACAAACACATGAAGTAGTAGTATACCATACTGTGGCAGCTGTCTTCCAGCATATTGGGTCAAATGAAACTCATGTCTCTGAGCAGCCCCATATTTTGGATCCACATACTTATGCCCACTCCCATTTCAAACTCAAGCAGACAGGCACTGGCTGCACAGTGTTTGTGTGGAATAATGTTGAAGTGTAGAGCACAGTTAAGTGAATTTGGCTTCTCTCCAAGAATTCCAAAAGATTTATTCACAAGGCCACATTTCTTACTGAAAATCTACCTCTAGCAGGGCAGCACTCTTTCAGACAGATAAAAATTACTGCAAGGGTGGTCAGCTAATGTATTAAATCATCCAAGAGCCACAAAAGACTTATTGGTTTGCACAGGTTGCAATTCACAGGTTACTCCTAAAGGAGAAAAAGAGTTCATGATGCTGCTTGAAGGAAAGAATATTAAACTGGAATCTGCTCAGCTCTGACTTGCTAGAACTAGTTGAGCTATGCTGACTTCTTTTTTTCCCTGATAAGCAGAAGAGTCCCATTTCTATTTTTTTGGCATCCAGGATTAGCATTAAGCAAAACTATTGGGAAATCCTGACTCTAAGACTTTCATGCTTTGCTTCTAATATTAGGAAAAAATTCAAGAAAATACTATTTACTATTATTGACCTGTTAGAACCCTTAAGGTATGAGATGTAGCATATCTTAACATCCAACCAATTCTTTGGCAATGACACTTGAAAAAGAAACTGTGAATTTGAACTTCTCCATTACTCAGACTGTTTCTGTAACTCCCACCATTCTTAGCTCAGTTCCATTCTGTTTCATCCAAGGGCTGTGGGAGTTATGGGACATTACACTGAAATGCTTCTTTCCAGTCCTGACCTCTGCAAGACCATTGAGGTGGAAAACAGGCAGGCTAGCACCCTTTGTTGGAGGATCTGCCCAACAGTAAAAGCAATATACCATCTCCCCGGAGAAGGCTCTGGGGAGATCTTATAGCTGCCTTCCAGTTCCTGAAGGGGCCCCACAAGAAAGCTGGGGAAGGACTTTTCATAAGGGCAGTTAATGACAACACAAGGGGAAATGGGTTTAAACTGAAAGAGGGTAGGTTTAGATTAGATATTAGGAAGAAGTTCTTCACTGTGAGGATGGTCAGACACTGGAACAGGTTGCCCAAGGAAGTTGTGGATGCCTCCTCCCTGGAAGTGTTGAAGGCCAGTCTGGATGAGGCTTTGACCAACCTGGTCTAGTGGAAGGTGTCCCTGCTGATGGCAGGGGGGTTGGAACTAGATGATCTTTAAGGTCCCTTCCAACCCAAACCATTCTTTGATTCTATGATTCTATGATCTAAGTTGAATGTAAAGGACAAGAGCACAAGACTGGCAAAACTGTTCCTTTTAGACCTTGTATGTCTACCTTAGCAGTAATTTTCTGTTTGCATGTTTCTAGAGGGCCACATACCTCTGTCACGCTAAGTTTTAATTGTTTACACACAGTTTTGCTGCAGTACCCCCTTAGTCTATGTTCTTCTACCCCTTTTATATCAAGAGGAAAGTTGTTCTCCTGATCCAACAGTGGCTAATTCTAACCTAACTATCTGACTACAGAGCAACATAAGTCTTTCTCTACATGTGTGCTTCATATGACATTCATGCAATATCATCTAATGGATGTCTACCTGGGAAGATAAGGAGGGGGAGGGAGATGCTGGAGCTGACATGGAGGTCATGAAGAAGAGGTTCAGGTTGAGGTAATGCTCATGGCTGCAGAGAATCCTCAGGAACTCCAGTCTCATGGAAATCAGAGTGGAGAGTGAATTCAGCTTGTTGGAGAGCTAGAAAAGTAAACCAAAAAGGTGTCATGTGTTTAAATTATCATGTGTTGCAATATCCTGCTTCCTGAAACAGAAATAGACAAATAGCCCAGCATACATTAAAATGCCCACTGGTTCCCTGTACCTAACTAGTTTCCATCCATTAGCTGTTCTTTGTTTGGCAGTGGTGGTGTCTCTCTCCACACTTCCTGGCTGACCCACCAACTTCCCAAGAGACAATGAATTGGGTTTTTTTGTTCTTCCCAAAATTAAAACATACAATATTTGTCCTTTTTGCATAACACAAAGATTAAAACCAAATAAAACTCTGATGAGACTGTGGCATACTCCTAAAAAGTCCTTCTAGGCAACACAGAGCATCAATGGTCTTGTCATTTTCCTCCACATCAACAATGACTTCAGTGGAGTATTGCACACACTATAGGAAACCAGGGTGGTAGCCACCTTGTGTTCTCCTACCTATCATCAACTGACAGAGAGCCTTCCTTTGGCAGAAAAACTACAGCTGGTATATCAGGTCACAAAACAGAAGGAAAACTTTCCCCTTCAAATACAACAAATAATTTCATAACATCCTGCATCATAATTTATTTTTAATTTTGGGAGGCTTGCAAAACAAGAAGACAGAGATGGATTGTTTTGATTGAATCCCGCAAATCTAAATACTCTCCTCACAGCAGTGCATTGAAAGAGTCAGAGACCAAAAGCTGCTCTGTATGGTCTACAGACCCTGCTGCTAAGGAATGCAAAAAAAGTAAGGGAAGAAAAGGGAAGAAAAGTGGCTCTGTGGATGCTCTGCAGCAGCGCAAGGTATGACATTTCTAAAGGAGTCTTAACCTCCACTCAGTTTTTTTCAGCAGACCACAAATCAAAAGAGGTGTAAAGTCTCTGCATAAGCAATAGGAAATAGGAAATTTACCTGGCCCTTTAACACAACTCAAAGGATCTTGATGGATAAATGAATCAAACAGACAGAACACTGGATTGGCCATAAGCCAAACGCAATCCCAATCATGCACAATGCCTACCTGATTACAGTAATGTTTGATGAGATTAAACACAAATCCTCGGTCCATTAAAGAAAGAAGATCATACAAGAAAAATGCCAGGCTGATATTAATTTTTTCTGCTTGCTCGCTTTCCTTTAAAAAAAAAGGGAAAAAAATTGCAGTTATTATGTATAAACCTCATATAAAGGTGAAAGACTTCTCAAAATCATTAAAAAATAGTGTAGGGGACAGCTCCAAGAACCATCTCATGGAACATACTGGACAAGATTGTTTCAGTTCTCCAGTTTATATGATCTTGTTAAAATTATACAGAACCACTCCTGTAAATTATTTGAATTACTGTAGCTTTCACAGAGGAGTATCACAGGATGAATGAACAAGTTTATCTATGAAAACCTTTGGGCTCACAACAAAGAAATGGAAATTGAGACCTGTTCTGAATTCCCTACAGGCTGCAATCCTGCATGTGCCTTTTTTTAAAGAAATTGAAACTTCAACATTAGAGAATGCTTGTTAGGTACTTAAAGCATAAAATATTGTTCTAAAATATTAATGAAAATCTGTGCTGGATCCGCTCATGGAATGCCAAGTATTTTGTTTAGAAATTTTAAGTGTAAAATTCATAGTAGAAAAATACTGGTAAGATAAATCTCTGGGTTTTACCATTCAGCAGCTAAGCTATGGCATGCTCAGAATTGGCCTGATTACCAGCAATATCAGCCCTCAAGTAAAAATCACAAAGAACTTCACGTGTTCTCTAGAATAAGGTTACAGTTACTTCAAACATACCAATTTAAATCGCATAATTTCAGTAGCATATGTAGTTAACCAAGAGGAATTTGTGGAGGTGCCTAAGGGATCTGCACACAATTAATGCTTAGAGCCCTCAGGTGGGTTCACTCAAGACTGACAGAGAAGACGACTGAGAAAAATATTGCCTCTACTCACGTCTCTGATGAGTAAGAATAGGTGTGTAGCACCTCAGGGTGGTTATAATTTATTTTTTATTTTTTCAATCTTTTTGCTGCTCTTCAGGAATATATAGAAATATTTCAAACAGTCTGGAATTTACATAGCAAAACGTTTTTCTGTTGTGAAGAAAAACTCAGTTTTCCACTACCTTACTGGGTTGGCTTAAATATTCCAGACATATCACTGTGGAATCCTAGGACAATCTAACATGATTAATCATGTATTGAAACATAGATTATTACCGCTTGGATTTAAAAATCAGACACACAGTACCTACAGCTCTGTACAACTAACCAATGGCCCTAATTCTGCAAACACTGCAGTGGGATTTTCACACATAATCAGGTTCTATACACTCTATCAAAATCAAATTGAATTAACAGCCCTGTTAATAAAAACCTGTGTATTTCTCATGAGGAATTCATAAAATACTAATCTCTTGGCAAAGCCTACATTAAAAATGTTTTAACAGAACTGTAACAAATTTTTAATACAAAACATATTTTTTTAAAAAAGTCACTGACACCTTAAGTAAACATTTCTGTGGAAATTATTTCTCTGCAAGTGGCTATCCAAGCACATCAAAGGATCGAGCAAAGACAAAAGCTTTAGGAATAACTTTTTGGTGGACAGTGACAATCACTTCTGCCATTCTTTGCCTTCAGTTGTCTGGTCTTGGCCCTTTCCCAGCTGCTGCTCCTCAGCAGCACAGGAGGGCACACATGGACAAGTGGATCAGGAAACTGAGCCGGTTGAAAATGGACCTGGCAGGTGAGCTCTCCAGCCTGGTGTGCCCTGTGGCAGAGCACACCACTGGGCTAGCACAGAATATTTGGCAGCATGGGGCATGGAAACAAGTTGGCTACAAAAACTGAACAAACTAACTCACCCAATGGCTATCCATGGCCTTAACTCTGTCTGTTGGCCAGTGTGGAGTGACAACAGTGATGTAAGCTGACAGCATTGAAGTTAAAACATAAATTACATTTTGAGATCCTTCCAACTTTATAATTGGTTGTATCAGTGCAACTTGTTAAAGTATATAAAGATAAATAATTTCATGGGATTTAGGGCTTATTTCTTGGCTTTAATTTTCATGTGGCCAGTGCCTCTTTAAAGAGACCTGGGCTTAGATCACTCATGGCTGGATTTTGCAACCCTCAAGAGGAATACTACCTTCATATTGCATAGCCCGCTGCCATCAGAGAAGTCAAATGTGGAATAAAACACTATGCAGTAAAAATGAGGGTAGCAGGAAAGGGGGATAAAAGCAAAACCTCTGCTTGGGCTTCAGTCTGATGCCCTTGCTAACCTGTCATAAAGCATCACTGCCACTGCAAATGGGTGTCCAACCTTTCCTGTTGATGAGAAAGGGAATTCCTTCCCTGTACCCTGCAGCCACACTGACAAGCAGGCTGGGGAGTGGGGCTGAATAAAAACAAACTGTTTGCCAGGGGAGCACAAGGCTGCCCCTTGCACAGCCACAGCCCTTGCTTAAGGTCCATGTGAGAATGCTGCCTCAGTTTTGGCGTAATTCTAGTGACACTGCTGAAGATGAAATGGGATTCTGTGTAACACAGAGTAGCAAGAATCTACAGTGCTTATTTCACGCATTTACCTTCTGTGGTTTGACTAGAAGTGCAGCAATCTCTGAAGTAACCACACTAACTATAGTGGTAATATCATCTTTGAAGCGATCGGAGAACCGGCTCCTTCGTGGGTTGTCTTGCTTTTCTATGTTGTGAACATACTGAGCCATACTCTTTATCTGCAAATAGAAAAAAAAAATATTGAGAAAATGCCCAGGCTGGAGATAAAACTACCGCTTTAAGTTAGTCCATGGGAGTAAGATTCCCTATTTGTTTTTCCCTGAATGTAGTCACTCATATCTTCTCAAAGCTGGTGTGATAAATCGTACATGTACTGGTGTGACAACAGAGAGCCTAAGACTCAAACACAGACAGATACTGATTCCTGTACATGTTCACGCAGTTGGCTACTGAAATCAGAATCACTCTCTCTAGTCCCTTGCATCTGCAGCTCTGAAATGCTGCCGTTTGCAATTTTGCCCTTCATGATGACAGGCAGGGAGTGACATTTCTGGAATTAATTCTTATTTCTTGACCTGCTGTTGGGTTGCTTATATGCTGCCAGTGGAAATCAGTATGCTTTTCCCACTGACATCCATCACCTCAGGGCTCTGTGAAATTGTGAGTTTCGGGAGCCTTCTTACTGCTCCCATGTTGTTAACAAAGTGGAACAGACAGGAATAGGTATTCATAGAAAAGGAAGGACTCAGTTTGATGTTTGTCTTTCAGCCTTCTGCAAGCTGTGGACCACTGTGCACATCTTTTATGCAGGACTTTGCCACCACAGGCCGTCAGTGGGGAACGGGGATGAATATGGAGAATTCTTTAGTTCTTTCATTATTTGGGACCTCTCCTTTTTACACCGGGGCTGAATAACTGAATCACCTGACTCAATCTGTGCCTGGAGTACCTGCTACATTTCACCATTAACTTACTATAAAGTACCACTGTCAAACCTTACCAGGAGCTCAAAGAAGAACCAGGCATACTTGAAGACAGATTCTCTCACCATACCGGTGCTGACCACCATCTGCAGTGCCAGCTCCTCGTGGAAATGCTAGATAATAAACACAGAGTGTTGGGAAAAGGCTTTTCAATCAACTCATTTTCTACTTTCAACATCCCCACTCTTCTCTGTGGGAAATTCCCCCATACTGGAGAGTCAGCAGATGGATGGGGATGTGTGGACATCCCTATAGGATCAGAAGGCAGATCAGACCAAAATGACATATGAGGAATACTGGTGGCAAACAGACTTTGGGACCCATTTTCTGTGAATCAAGAACCCTGGATAACTAAACCAGGCCTTTCATCTACCCTTAGGCCACTGGTTGTGTGCGTTACAGGGAGTGGTCATGTTCCCTGCTAAGCATTTCCATTTAGCACAACCTTGTGTTTTGAGAGGAGGTAGAAGTAAGATTACCTCTGTGGTGGGAGAGAAGGACACAGCTATAAGCGCAGCCAAGCTTGCGCAGAGATTTGTAGTTGGAGACAATACTCTTTGCAGCAAGATCTGACCATAAGACATCCAATCCCAATGATCAAAACTTTTAGGAAACTCAAATCTGGACTGAAAATTTACTGCAATGTCTATTTTCTTCTCCTGACACAAGTAATGAACCTAATGAGATTTCAAAGCACATTTACGTGGAATAGGACATACTAATCCATACAATATTCAGATTTGGTATAAACTTCTGCTTTTTGGCAGAAATCAAACAGCTAAACAGGAGTAAGAAAGGAGAGTTTCCTAATTGTAACTCAGATTCTGACTGCCCATTGCAGGGTTTTTCCCCTGTTTCTTCGTCCAAAGCCACTGCTGCTGATCAATGCCAAACAGAAGACAGAGCTCAGGAAAAATTATCTATGTGATATGGTATCTTCTATGTTATTAAAAACTTATTTGGGAATACATACTCAAGACACGAAGGAATTTCTTGGTTCTAAAAGCTACAAAAAGGAGAAAAGAAAAACATTCTTTACAGAAGAAAGAGATGGCAAACATTTTTGAATGTGGTTTACTGTAACATGTAAAGGCACGTAACCAAGGGTAAACAGCAGTGGAAAAAGACAGAGGCTCTAACAGTCTGAGAAACAGAGCAAAGGGAGTATCCAGGCAGGCTGCTACTTGTTTAAATCTGTCATGGAAAAAGAATCTAAAGACTATGGAGCAGAAGCAGAAAAGCTTTGCATAATATTTACCCACTGATTCAGTATTCCACCACAAACTCCCTGTTAGATAAAACTGGTTGTTATTTTGTTCTCTCTCTCCTCCCTCCTCATTTAGAAGTGCTAATGACCAGCACTGCCTCAGAAGACTCCAGGACCTGTTAATGTGCTCCCTCACATTTAGTGAGGCTACCTTTTTATTGGATGGCCTTAGGCTTGCACAAACACCTGGCACGTCATTTGTCCCTTCAACGTAGAAAGACATCCGACTGGAGCTGTGATCCATAGGCTGGAGGGCATAGCCAGAAGAAATACATAACAGTAAGTTAATACATAACTTTAGCTAATTAACAGAGAAGAAATCAGCAGCAGTGCTTTTTTTGGAACGTATGCACCGATGTTCACCTAAACAGCTCTTCTCTTTCCTTCTCCCCATCCCGCTTCCCTGTGGAGGCCAAAGACCGCCTGAAGGCAGCAGCCGCAGGAGCGTGCAAATGCCAACACTGCCATCAGGTGCCCAGTTTCAGCGCTGCAGTCGTACTTCGGAAGCGCTACAATTCACCCTTTCAAAAGTAACTGTCCTTTATCCGGTGGCTCTACCTCTGAAATCAAGTACCATCTGGGAGTCTTCCTTGCATTAAAAGTAATGCCAATTTAAAAGGCAGTGAAATGGCAGCGGCCAGTTGTAAATTGCTACCTTTATTAATGTGGTGAAGCTGTAATATCAAATATTTAAATTTTGTATCAATTTGGAAAAAAAAAGCCTTGAGCTCCGGTTTTTTTTTAGGACACAGTACATTACAGTAAAATTCATAAAGCTATTGAGCCCAAATCTACATCATTAAAAATTGCTATGGATGAATGAGTATGCCCATATAAACAAATCAAATAGATTGGCAAAGTCTGTGCATCTTACTAGTTCTGGTTTAATTTGCTGAAGATGAGCACCCATTCACTTTAACAGGAGAGGTACGTGATCATTCAATGGAGAAAAGACTTCAAAATGTTTCTGAAAATAACCTGCTTGAGTAGCAGCATTTTATATATGTAACACTCAAAGAAAAGGGAGGAGGGATATGGTTCAGAGCTCGGCAGACATGCTCCTGCAGAGCTCTGCCAGGGCTGCAGCTAGAAGCAGGCTTCCCGCACAGGGGAAAAATCCCG